TGTAATATGAAAATGTTGTTCTTGAGTTTATAATAAAATCATACTTTTATGTTGAAGACCCGTCTTCTCCTTCTTCATATGTATGTATATGTACTTAAATCATTTCTACATGTTTGTTGTTCTCTTGTCATACCTTGATTTTGCTCACTAAGATGTAACCTCATATATATTTTGACCTCGACTTATATGGTCTCACATTAACAAGGTAAAAAACCTCAACGTTTTACTTTGATTTCATTTAGAATATGGTGAGACTTTGAAGTTCTAACCTCAGGTAGCAAACAATATAGTTTATATGCATGATTTCTTATAGTCTTTGGTTTAAACTTTTTTTAAAAATATCCCTAGAATTGACAGATGTTGGAACTGAACTCTCATGCAGGGCTCAAATTCTACTGACTGTAGTTCGTGTTCAAGGAAATGGTGGTTAACTATGGGCGGTTACTTTAATCTAGCTCCAACTACTTCATATTATGTTGTTTTAGTCAACATTATTCATTGGATCGAGTTTCCTTAAAGCAAAAGTTAACCCCTTACATACATTTTCATTAAAATCAATATTTATTTCTATCTATACAGTTTCTAGATGCACCAGAGATTCTGGTAGTGTTTGGGAAGATTCTATTTTTATTGGAAATATTGAACTCCTTGTACATGTGTCGGCATAAGTCATTCTTTTCTAATTTTGGTGAGTTTAGTTTACTTTATTTTATACTTTTTGACTTTTAATTTCATTGATATGAAAGCAATTCATATACATTAATTTCATTGAATTAAAAAGATGAAAACTTAGGGGTTGTTTTGTTTGCAAAATGTTATTGGAAAGAACTGGAATTTGTTAGATGGTATGGCTTATGGATTCCTCAGATATATAGATTTTGTTATGTGGCGTGTTTGGTTGCCAAATGTAGGGAATCCAATTCTGTCATATTCCCTTAATTTCCATAATGTTTTATGGATTTCCATTCCTAGGGTGGGTGGAACGAATTGAAATCCATTCTTCAACTTTTTATAAAAGACGAAAAGACCCCCATTATTTGTTCAGTTTTTTATCATTGAATTCCTTCCATTTCAACCAAACGTGTGACAAAGTCAAAGTCCTTCCTATCTAATGATTCATTTGACAGATTCCATTCGTTATAAGACATTATGTGAACCAAAAAACTTTATTGTAGAATTGTATTATGTGAGGGAATGGCTATAAGAAAATGGAGTGGAATTCAATAATGAAAGTTGAATCATTTTTAAAACTTTCATTTACTATGACAATTGTTTTTCAAATCTCAATTCGTATGGTTATTTTGGTCTTTTTAATAAAAATGAAAAAAATGAAATTGTATTTTTTTCTACCCAACCCTTGGAGTGGTGAAATTCTCCCAACATCGATTTGAAGGAATCTCCCATAAAAGAAGCCAATACCATTCATCTAGCAATATTAAATGGAATTTGAGATTCTAGCTAATTACTTTATATTCTGTTAGAACCCTCAAATTAAAGACACCCTAACGGGGCGTTTACTTTTGCAGAATGTTAATGGGAGGAGTGGAATCCGTCAATGGAATTGGAATCACATGAAATGTAATTGGTCAGGTGTTTGATTGGGGAAGGAAATGGAATGAAATTCAATAATAAAAATAAATTCATTTTATAAAAATTTTATATATAATTAAATTTTGTTATATCAATGATAAACATGTAACCGGAAACCAATGTTACTACTATATATGATGAAGTTATTTTGGTATTTTAACATTCGTTTTAATTTGTTGGAAACAGGAAGTTATCATGATTTGTTATGGATGGAAGCTCATTTCAAGATCTACAAAGTAACGTGTGTACCAAAAACTAACAGTGATATGCAAATAAGATTTTTTTTATCAAGCAACTGTCAAGCAAGGAAGACTAATTGGATTACTCCTATTATTTAGACGATGGAACATACTTTTGTTTTTTCTCTTTAGTTGCTTATATAACTTGATGCGAATGTCAGTTTGCTTTAATTTAGTTATTTCATTTAATAAGTACTTGGTAAATGAATACACAATATGTGATATTATCATATAACATTAAGTTGAAGTTGAAGTTTTTACTTTTTTTTATTGAGTTTCTAATTGAACTTCAAATATTGACCTATCAATTCAAAACTATGTTGGTAATTTCTTATTTGACAATAGCCATTGATATAACTATCTCATAAAGATTAGGAATAAATATTTTTCATTTACTTATAATATTTTATGTTAAGGTGAGGATTACATATAGCTTTATTATTATTTATAGCTTATTATAAAAGTGTAACCCTATTATAACAAGTCTTATATAATACTTTTATAATATTATTATAATATAAACTGTAAAATGTAAAAAATAATTATTGTATATAAATTCATCTTTTCCATGTTATATAATTTTAAATAAAAAAAAAATTTATCATAAATAAGAAATAACATATTAAAAAAAACAATTTACATGGTTTTGTATTTTGTTAAATATGAAGCAAAAGTAGAATGCTAAAATACAGAAGAAATGAAATTACAATGCTATTTTGTGTTTTAAGAGTTAACAATGATTTTCAATAAATAAAAGAATTAACTTATTCGAGAAAGAACATGTCAATTACAGCCCTATCAGCTACCACAATCGGGTATGTTTGTTGATAACTTTTCATTTTAAATTACCTATTTCTCTTTTTTTTATTTTATAGAATTGGAATTCGAGATTCCACTCCACTGTTTCTTTGATTGCCAAATAGATGGATTTCGATTCTGTCATAATCTTCCATTGCTAACGGATGATAGAAGGAATTCAAATTCACCCTCTATTTCTCTATTAAAAGACCAAAATTACCCTCATTCTCTATAATACTAAAATGTTAAATTACACTCATTTTCGTCAGAGTGAAACGCCCTACTAATACAACAAATGGTTAGTAAACTATATGCACAAACAAGGACGTGGAGGTGGATTTACTTGGTGAATAATGTTCAGTTATAACAATGTACTTTGGTGTAAATGACAAAAATGTCAATTTACTTGGTGAAAATGTTCAAATAATGTTCATTACTTTTATAATATATTTCTTCTGGTTCTGATATCTAAATGTATTAATCTTAACTCCATTTTTTACAGCAAGACATAACAAATCGAGTGATCGACAACTTTGACAAGTTTTGCTAGAGTTCTATAATTTGGTGTCTATGTATCATGTCCAAGTATCATATAAAAACTATATTTTCCGTTTACTATAATTTGGTTGCAATTTAAAGTAAACAATTATAACGTTGTATTGTTGTAGATGGGTTTGAATTGAATGGACTGAGACGTATATTTAATAATTGTTAGTGAACATTGAACATATATCCAAGTGGCTTGAGTATGAAAGTTCTAAGATTGTTTTGAATCAATTTTTTAACACACACTCTTTATGTGACTATGACATAGTACACTATTTGGGCAAAAGAATCATAGAAACTAATTTGTAAAAAAAACTATCTCTACCCGTCGCTTGGCGCGGGTATACTTATTAAGGGTTAACAGATTAACCTTTTAAATGAGGCATATTATTCATCCATAGTTGATTAATATCCGCCTACCCCGGATTTATAATGGGTTAATTTTAAGTGAGCGTTAAAGATATGTATATCTTTATAGTATATTTCAAGATGTCTGATAAAGCGTCAGCATGACGGAGAAATTTCAAGTCATATAGCTCGGTTATAGGGACTCATTGTGACGTTATCCACCAACCCTAATAAACCAAACTACCTAGAGGAAAATACCTAGGAAGCAATAAAAGTATGAAAAGATAACAAAACTATAAAGGAAATGATAATAAAACTATAGAAGTATTAAAAGAGTAACTTATCCTAACTAAACAAAATACTAAGAATAGGAACATTTTCAAAAAGTTATAATAAAATGACAAAAGTTATCATTTTTAGATAAACCCTGTAATTTTTAATATATGCCTTTAAAATATCATTGTATTTTGTTTTAAAATAACGACTAGATGAATAATTTTTACCTGCTAGTAGTTAAAAGGCTTCAAAAAATTGGTTTTACCGAAATAAAAAAGTGATGTGCTCTTTAGGGTTAAAATACAAAGGATTTTACCTTATATATAACTTATGTTTAATACCTTCCACTTAAGGGTATGAGTGTGTTTCTACGCGTAAGAGGCTGCTGTGGAGGCGATGTCCGTGCGTGAACAACTCCCCAAGGTGCGTAGGGGTGATGCGGATTGGAGTTGGTCATGGGTTATCATGACCAATAGCTTTCTTTCCCTCTCCCAAACGGTGAAGAACGTTTGCTTTTGATCATCTATGTGACAGAATAGAAGAAGAAGAAGAAGTCGAGTTCTTTGGGTGCAAATGAAACGTAAGATAGGCACAAATAAAAGCCTAATTTTTAACATGGGTTGAAAACTTAAGAAAAAGCTTGAAGGGCTAATTCTCATTGGACATTAAAATAAAAATGGTAATAGATCTATATATATATATATATATATATATATATATATATATATATATATATATATATATATATTTTAATTTTTTTATTAGTAAACTATATTTTTCTGTTTAATAAGTAAAATGGGTTTAAATGGTCATAGATCCACCCTTTCGTTTAGGTCAAATTTGTTTAGATTTCAACTAGATAAATGAAATATTTAAACGTCGGTTACTTTTAACTAAAAACTAAAAAGTTGCGAAAACTTGAAAAAAGACCCAATTGGTTGCGAAAACAAGATTATCTTGTTAGCGAAGTTTGCAATATATGTTTTTCACTTTTTCTCAAAGGATGTATTTATTATTAAATTAATTTTGGTAATTTTGGGAGTTTTATTTATTTTTAACACTTTTCTAAGTTTTTCATATTCAGAGCTCTTCCAATTGCCCTTTTATTCATTTTGGCCTTTTGGGATTTTTACCGACTTAAAAGAAGTTATCCTTTGTCAAACAACCGAAGTACTAATATTCATATTAAGAAAGACAAAAAGCATTCGTTACAAATCTGAAGACAAAAAGCATTCGTTACAAATGTTGTTGCATTAATTCACTTCATTTCTTCATCTGACCTATCAGTAATCTAGCAAATTATCTTCACGTCCATCATCATCTTCAACAAATCTGGATCAAATATCTTCGCATTGATCATTTCACTTCTCCATCAGAACTATCACAAAACAAAACCACATCTTCACTTTCATCATCATCTCCGAATCATTCTCTTGTTTGTTCAACTCATTTCTTCATCGGAGCTATCAGAAAACCAATCCAAATCTTCACTTTCCTCACCATCTTCAACCAATTTCACCTTTTCTTTCCCTTGATCACTTGCATCAAAATGTTCCTTCAAGAAAACGCGCACTTCGTACCATTTTGGGCTTGATAGGAGACTCATCTTATACGTTGTCGGCTCATCCAAAACCCTGCCATTCAAACCAAAAGCAAACTCCAAAGCTAATGTACTCGCTTGAACAGATAATAAATCTCGTGCCATTTCAGCCAAAATAGGATACTGATAACGCCCTTTACTTCTCCACCATTCCAAGATATCAAAATCCTCATATTCATCACACCTCATAACATTCAAAAAATCCGTCTTTTTATATAACTCAAGCTCATTCGAAATCACCACACTTCTTGAATCCTTTCTCGAAACCGATTCCATTATGATATTTCTTGAACCCGATTCCATTATCATGTCTCTTTCACCACCTCTTCCTCTACACATCTTTTCATAGTAATCAAACATCTCATGCAAAGCATCGTAACATTTTCTCATACTTGCCTTTGCATAATCATTACTTGTATCCAATCCCAAGTATCCCTCAATATCCTCTAGAATATTCTCAACACCATTAAGTCCAATCTTAGGATTCAAAGCAGCTGCACATGTGAAAACCTCAGGCATTGTTTCATAGTATTGTAATAACTTCGACTGCATTCCAAGAATACCCGGTTCCCAAAAGGGTTTCTGTTTATACTCTTTAAACATATGAGTGAGTAGCAGAATCTCTTCCAAAACTAGAGGTGTAGTGGGATAATAAGCGTTTGATAAACGTATTGTAGAACTACGAAACACTTTTAAAATACCCAAAAGTGATTCGATGTTTTCCCAATCGTTATCATCAATATCAATACCACTATCATTATCGCTATCACTCTCATTATCACCACAAGTAGCATAAAACTCGACAAGTAGCGGTTTTTGTTTCACCATACGACCTAACATGTCGTAGGTTGTGTTCCAATCTTGCTCTATATGTAGTCCTATGTGAGAAGAAAACTTCGCACCTTTTCCACGTAGAAATTTTCTGAATTCTTTTGCATGATAATAGAATGCATAAGCGCACAACTTTTCAAATTTTGTTACGACAGGAGCAACATAATCAAGAATCGATTTCACCATTGAGTTCAACATATGACATGCACATTTTGTATGAAAAAAGACACCATTAAACATAGGCTTTACTTCTCTTTTGAACCTTTTCATATCGGCTGTATAAAACCCATCTGAATCATCAATACTGACGTTCATTACCTTTTCTTTCAACTTAAATTCACAAATGCTCGAGACAATGACTTCATAAATGTCTGTATATTGTTCGAGAGAAATGATTCTTTTAGACATTTTCCATGTTTCAGGATCGATCCAATGACATGTAATGCAAGTATATGGAATATCTTGCCCGGTAGGCTTCCATGCATGGATGGTTAAACAAACTTTGCTTTGAAAATTTTCAAAATATTTAATCAAATCTTTTTTCGATTGTATGTAAAGTTTAAATGCACGTTTTAGAATAGTAGTGCTACTCACCTTTTCGTATTGTGGTTGCAGGCATTCCATTAATTCTGTGAAGTGATCGCTGTCGACGATATGGCAGGGGAGATTAGCTTCGATTATCCACTTTAGTTGCAAATCGGTTACAAGATCATGATCGTAGATAAAAATTTCAGGAGTTGAACTTTCGCATGATGATTCTGGTGATGCTAATGCTAATGGTGTTGCTGCTGCTAAAGGTAATGGTGATGGTTCTTCCATAACAATGTTGCTGAAAGAATTGGGAGGGAGAATGGTAAATTTCAAAGTGAGGAAGTGGAGGGATGTAAAATGTGTAATGTTTCTGAATGTTTATTTATACGGGTTAAAAAAGATAGCTGTTGGAATATCTGGACCAAAATGCCCCTCAAAATATGACCGTTGTAAAAACTTTTCGTTCCCAAGAAAATACGAGTGTTAAAAAATTTAAACTTTTAGTTACAATTTTGAATAAAAGTTTTCATATACGTGTTTTTAATTTTAGAAAATTTATATTATTTAAATACTAACCTTATTTATTATCGATATAAAATGAAAGATGATAATTAATAGAGAAAAAAGACAAATTCAGCAAAAAATTAAAGTTTTTTCTATTAGTTAAGTAAAAATATGTTTTTTTTTTTCTCTGAAAATAGACTGCAAAAATAGCGAAAACGATGTCGCTTTAGCCAATTTCAGAGGCCGCACACATGGTCTGCGAAATTGGTGGAACCCACACTAAATGAATTGTATATGAACAAAAAATTTCATATTTTTATTTTATTTTATAGAAAAGTGGATCTCGAAAATTTTCTCAAACCCAGTGTTGTAAGAAACGATTTAGTATGAACGAACATGGGTAGGGTTGGATCGGTTTTTGGCTAAAACCAAACAAAACAGTAGAAAGTCGGTTTTTTGGTTTTAAACTAGGTTCGGTTTTTGCATGGTTCGGTTTTTCGGTTTTCCGGGTTGGGTTTATGGGTTTTCGGTTTTAAACTATGAGTTTATGAGCTCCTATTTTTTTTTCTAGTTTTTGAGTTCAAACACAGTTACTTTGCGATAAATAATATTGTATCTATTTTAAATATATTAAATAAAAAATACAGATTCTAGTATTCTAAAAACATAAAATTGTTCAAAAGATCAATGTTTAACATCATTACCAGTTTATTGAAAATAAACATAAAATATTCAAGGGATAAAGTTGAAAGTTTAAAACTAAAAGTTTAAAACATACTCCATCCGTCCCAAATTGATAGTCCACTTTTGACTTTTGAAGTTTTTTTTCTTTAACTTTGACCTTAAATATTTTTATTTGTGTTATATATTACTTGATAAAACTTATAACAATGAAAAAACATTTAAAATACAATACATTTATATATTTTGCATATTAAGTATTATCTATAAAAAACGAAAATATTTAGGGTCAAAGTTGAAGAAAAAAAACTTCAAAAATCAAAAGTAGACTATCAATTTCGGACGGAGATAGTAATAAATAATATATATCAATATATGTGGGTCGGTTCAATTTTTATGGCCGGTTTTATACGTCAAAACGGAACCAAACCGTTATTTTTCGGTTTTTATAAAATTCAAACATAAACCGTCGATTATTGTTTTGGTTTCGGTTTTTCGGTTTCGATTATATCAGTTTTTTTCGATTTTTTTATTTTCGGTTCTGTTTTTGCTCATCCCTATGATTTAGGATGTTAATTTATTGGAGACTATATTAAGCGGATTTGATTATTAATCAAGTTAGGCGGTCATATAGATGAAAACTTAAATGGTTACATTTATCAAAAAGTCCAAATAAATCAACAAAACTTAAAAAAAAAAAAAAAAAAAAAAAAAAAAATCAAGTTTAAAGAATGAATGTACATGAATGGTACTAAATGCCCTAATTTTATTTTCTCACATCTTTGTCTCTCATCACACAAATACCTAAATTTAATTTTCTCTGGTTATGTCGATGCAGTTTTCTATGTATTTAGATATGAAATAAATCAAACTTTACAAGTTATAACTTATTTATATAATATCTGATGATAAAACGAATAATACATTTCTACTTGCTATTATTTAATTTATTTATAAATAAATTCATATATAGTTTAGGGTCCTCGGTTAATAACTTCTTAAACTAAATAGTTTCTTAATCTCAACCTACCAACTAACTACCGTCTAACAATTTTTACAATGCTAAATCTTAATCACAACACCGATCTCTTAAGCTTTATCACATACATATATTTCGATCCAAACTTCGAATTATAAAGATATTGATTCCACTTTCATATGCTTTTGATAATTTTTACATTATTTTAGTAACCATTTCATAACGTGGCAAATTTTAATTTTCAAACTGAGATATTCTAACAATGGTGATATTTCTAAAAAAAAATGACAATTATGTACACGATACTTGTGAAATTATCACTTATCGATGAAGTTTGGATCGAGTACATAATTTCACAAGTATGTGGACTTTGTATCATTAGGATGTGGATTTTTGCTATTTTTCAACTTCTGGTGGTTACTTGTAATCTTGTTATTTTTATGATAATTATGATAATCTCCACGATCTCGGTTAGATCCATGACTATTATGATTATATGATGTTGCATTCACTTCAGGAAATGCACTAGAACCGGTCGGGATTGATTGATGATTTTTCATTAATAACTCATTGTTTTGTTTAGCCACAATAAGACATGAGATCAATTCATATTTATTTTAAACATATCTTATGATATTGCTATTGCAGGAGCATGTTAGTAGTATGAAAACTAGAGAAAGTTTTCTCTAGTATTGTTTTCCATAATGAAAATAAAAATCAAAATAAAGACTTGTATGTTAAGGAATTGTTAGTTAAGAAATTCCATAAAATAAATTGTAAGCATTGTACATATAAAATTATAAAAAATACATACCTGAAAATGACAAGAACAATAAGGAGTTAGAGTTATGGTAGAGTCGTATTGATAACGTGTTATAAAATATAATCAAATAACAATATAAATTATAGAGTAAAGAAAGACATGAGAGTAGAGAGACCTTTTATTCTAATACTTGTGATGAAATCATCAAACTTTACAATACATAATATTCACTATTTATACTAGACAAAGAAGATGAAAGGTGATGTATGATATGAATGCTCATTATAGTGGTGCATAACTACACTCATAAAACTCATAATAATGTTTGCTATAATGTTCACTAATTATGGAGACTAATGGGGGAATATGGAGAATCCAATAATCATTCACTAAATAATAATTCATAACACTCCCCCTTGAATGACAATTGTATCATGCCTCGTTAAAACCTTAATCGGTAAAACCTCATCGGAAAAACCCTTTATTAAGGCAAAAGAGTACATGATTAATAATAGATATTGGAAACAATTGCCTCGTTAAAAACCTTGATAAGAAAACCCAGTGGGAAAAACATAGCTAAGGAAAAGAATACAATATGTTTCCAACTCTCCCTGATTAGCATATCACTTGATTTTCTTGAAGCTCCGCATAACAATGTTTCATACCATCTTTTCAAATTTTGATGTAGGAAGTGCTTTAGTAAACCAATCAGGAAAGTTGTTACTGGATTGAATTTTCTAGATGTTGATGCCCCACTCTTTTTGAAGATCATGAGTGAAAAAAACTTTGGTGATATATTCTTGGTTTTGTCTCCTTTGATAAATCCTTCCTTGAATGGAGCTATACAAGTTGTATTATCTTCATATAATATGGTTGGAACATCCCCGTTAGAAGTTATACCATAATTCTTGCAAATGTATTGAGTTAAATTTCCTAACCAGATACATTCATCACTTGTCTTATAAATTGTTATAATCTTTGCATGGTTAGAATAAGTAGCAACTAAAGTTTTTTTAACAAAATGACAATAAATTACGTTACCTCCACAAGTGAATAAATAACCTGGTTGGGATCGATCTTTGTGTAGATCAGATAAATATCCAGCATCTACATAACTAATTAACTTCACATTTTATGAATTTGATTAGTATAAATTTATATCCATTGTACCTCGAAGATATCAAACAATGTGTTTGACTCTATTCCAGTATCTTCTTGTTGGACAAGAACTATATCTTGCTAATAAGTTTACGACAAAAGATTTATCAGGTATTGTATTGATAGTAAGATATATTAGTGCACCAATAGCACTAAGATATAATTCTTCGGGAACAAGAAGATTTTCATGTTTGTTATGATGCTGAAATTAGTCCTTTTTGCCATCTAAGTGCCTTACCACCTTCGGGTTACTCATGGATGTGAGTTATTCATATAAAACCTTTTTAGCACCTTTTCTAAATATTAATGTATAAAATCTCCATTTTGTGTGCTTAATTTGAAGACCCAAATAGAATTCCATCTTACCAAGATCATTCATTTTAAAAGTTTCTTTCAAACAAGAAGTGACCTTTTCCAGTTCTCTAGGAGTTCCAATTATGTTCAAATCATCTACAATAACATCAATTATGATAAATTCTTATATGGATCTTTTTATGAATACACATGGGCTTAATGAATCATTTTTATAGCACTCTTTCAACATAAATGTAATAAAACAGTTGAAGCACATACGGCCAGATTGTTTCAATCTATACAAAGATTTATTTAATTTTACCAAATATACTTCACAAGAATTAGAAGTTTGTACTTTTGGCACCTTAAACCCTTCTCGGATTTTCATATAAATATCATTTTCAAATGAACCATATAAATAGGCGGTAAATACATCCATTAGACACATCTCCAGTTTTGCATATGTTGTTAAAATTATAAAATAACTAAATGTAATTGCATCAACTACTGGAGAATACGTTTCTTCATAATCAATTTCGGGCCTTTGGGTAAAACCTTGTACAACAGTTATTGCTTTATATATCACAACTTCATTTTTTCTCGTTTCTTTTGCACACAAATACCCATTCGTGTTCCACTGTTCTTACTCTATTTGGTGTACTGACTACAGGTCAAATAACTTTTCGTTGAGTAAGAGAATTAAGCTCTTTATTTATTTCATCTTTCCATTTTGGGCAATATTTTTTATTCCTACATTCCTCAATGGATTTAGGTTCAAGATCCTCATTTTCTTCATAATCTCGCGCGCAACATGATATAAAAAAATTTATCATCGACGTCTATCTTATTTCGGTTTCATCTTATTCCTGTCATGACATAATTTATTGAGATCTTATCATTTTCATTTTTTTAGGTACCTTATATTCTTTTGTTATGTCAGTGGGCTCTTCTAGAGCTTCATTAA